CGGCCATTGTTGAAATAGTGACGCAGCGGTTGTTGTAAAAAAGATGGGCTGGGGCTGGACCAGGTTTTTGTTAGGATCGGGTTTAGTCTGAAAAATATCTTCAGACTGCATATTCCTGTAGTAAAGCCGGGGTAAACAATGGAACTGTTCAATAAATTAAAATAAAAATATGTTTTGCTATAGTTTGTCGCTCTCAAAACCAGTCTGATTCTATTAATGTGAAATCTGCATTCTCTGTCTTTCATTTCTCTGTAGAAAGAGGCAAAAAAGGCCTGAACCAAATGGGTTTCTATGACAACATAATGATTTATTATAAAATCTGCATTCTATATTCTTAAACCTCTCTATAGACAGAGCCACATTTTTTTGTTTTGAGTATTTCTTATTCTCAACTTTTTTTTGGCTATTATTATCATTATTGTTATCATTTGTGTTATTATTATTATCAACATTGTTATTATTATTATTATTGTTGTTGTTGTTGTTGTTGTTATTATTATTATCATTATTACTTAATTTTATATATGTCAGGTTGTATTTTTGTTTTATGTTGTGTTGTTTTTGTGTTCTTGTTGAACGTTGATGTGTTCTGTTTTGGTTGTCTTAAAAATAAAAATAAAAACAAACAAAAAAAGAGCCAAAAATACCTAACCGAGTGTCATGTGCATTTATTTATTTGTAATTAAACTATTAAAATGTAGGGTTTAAATAATAATAATAATACATACATACAGTATGTTACCCATCTGTGCTTCTTGGCAGGTTTTCTCGAGATTGAGATTTCATTCCCTGAAGAAGTTCTTTCAATGAAGAACTAAACGTCGGGAAAACCTGCTGAGAAGTACAGATGAGAACTGAGAACTTACACAAACACACATATATGACATTAACCTCATCGACTCCAACTCCTTTGTGCACATTTTAGATCCTATTTGTCCAAAAGTCATATTCTGTGTAATCTAACCCAATCCAACCCGATCTAAGCCAATCCAGGCCGGCCCTGACACAGCCCTGACACAGCCCTGTCTGCAGCAGTCACTTCACATCACTCACAGACGATGGGACGTGACACCGGCCGCTTCTCTTTGGGTTTATCGTGGCACATTTGAACTTTTCTAGGCCACCAGAGCTCCGCACATGTCCCCGCGCTGTAACAGACAGAAGAATGATCTGCTTTTGTAATGGAGGGGACCATGGCTGTGGGCAAAGGTAGCACTCAACATGTCCTTTTAGTTATGTAAGCGGCCCCAGGGAACGGAGAGAGGACAGAAGTAACAAAATATATATACGGTATTACAGCCACCGACATGGAAGTAATGGACGTATGTAACATTTGACAGGGCTTTTGGGCTCACTGTAAACCCGAGTGCTCAAATTAGTACAAAATAATAATTAGAGTAAAATTAAAACTAAATAAATGTACTACTTGATTACATGTTTTAATTTAATGAAGCAAGTATCCAATTTTCAGTGCATAAAATTATGTATTTTAATTTCTATTAGGATCATATTTTTAAGTAACCATAAATTATATTATTTTATTTAGTGTACTACTGCTTTCTAATTTAGAACGAATTATTTGTTTTATTAATCTGATTTAAAAAAAGTAAATTAAAATGGGTCAAAAATCAACTCAAAATTGATCAAAACGTATATATTCTTTTGCTAATCTGTGAAGGTTAAGCGTCAAAACCCTCATTCAGAGCACATACGAGCCATAGTCTGAGTCTGTATTCTACACGGCACAAGGATACGATGACATCATGAGGACGGGACTTGAATCTCGCTCCAATAATTTAGCCAACATTTATAGTTCTGTCCCCTCCCAGAGGACGGGGACGTATGGGACAGACATGACCAAGGACAAACTCACGGCATCAGTCTGGAGCACGACAGAACGAAAAGAGGGAACGAGGGGAGCTGGCTTGAGTGACAGCCACAACAGTGAAGAGGGCGGGACTTGTGACATTTTACTCAAAGACACAAGCTTCAGTGGAGCTGTCTTGTTTTTAGAAATGCAAGAAATCTCGAATATTGTCTAGAAATGATTATCTGCTTTAATAAAATGCCCAGCAAGAGTTTGTGATTGATTTTCCTTATATGGACAAATAAAAAAGCCTTGTGCAGAACTCAATGTCAATTTTCATTATTTTTCCTCATTAACTTTTCTATTTTATACCCAGCTCAGTTGTATTGGTTGGTATTTTCTATAGATTTTTGGTGAAAAGTTTTTATATTTGAATGTATTTATACAGAACCAGTTTTTTTTAAATAAGAGTATTTGGTATTCAGATGCTAGATCTTGTACCCAGCAATCTTTCAACACTTGGATTTGATGTAATTTAGGAGTAAACAAAACATCAACATTGGAAAGTCAGAAAATGTTGATGTAAAGGAGAGTGGTAATGATCCAGGACATTTAGGGACACAAGTCCCTGCCCCTGATGGACTAGTGTCTCTATGTGTTTTTTATCATTGCATTTCTTGTTCAACTGTTTGATTCTCTGATCTGTGTTGGCAAATCCACAACTTTGCAAATTCCTCCGAGATAACTGCTGCTGTGATTTATGGCTATACAAAAATAAGACCCATTGAATTGAATGAATCACTTCCATGACTTTAAATCCCCCAGAAATATATTCCCAGTACTTCAAAGTGCAGTCCTAGTTGCATTTGATCACCTAGCTAAGCGACTAATGCTACATTTACGAACTCTTTAGCGCTGTCAGACGATAAACTAGCTATAATTCCATATGAACCTTGGACTATACTTTCCCTACAACAGTCCAATGGAGAGATTCCTTCCTTCAAATGTATTTAATGAAGGACACTTCTTCTTCTACACTTCTGTCTGTTTCTGTCTTAACTTCCGTGTGCGAGTAACAGCACCAGTGAAATGTTCCGAGTCCTCCGGGCGACACCAGGCGGAGTTACAGTAAAGGGACATGCTGCATCAGAGGGGATGGTCCTGTACAATGCAAGCTTGGAGCTCGCTGACATCTTTAATATGAAGCTCAGAAAACACACGAGAAGCCGGAGCAGGAGGACGATGTCTGTGCTTTTTTTTCATGGTCGGAAATTGTAAAAACAACAGGTTTTACTCAGAGACGCAGATGTAGAGATGTGAGGTGTGATGGTCCATGGGTTTCCTGAGTTTATGAACGAGTCTCTAGAGAACCTCAGCTCAGAGGAGGGTGGAGAAGGTGGAGAAGGAACCACTGCATCAGAGATAAAGGTCATAAACAGAATGACTCAGATATTGTTTGTCATGGTGTTTAAATGTTGATGCAAACCAGCGGACTCTGCACAAAGGAGATATTAAATATGTTTGGATTTAACACTAGAACTCGCAGAGCAGTCATTTTGACGGCTCCCGTTCAAATAGGTGGATTTCAGAAACAAATATTTTCACTACTTTCTTAAAATCAATGTATATGTTGTTTGTATTTCAGTAAAAAAACATAAACAAAAAAAATGTTCAACGGCTAATAAATGCTATCTCCTGTAAGAAAACCATGTGTTGCTGTGGTAACTAGCACTTGCTCTTTTCTGTTGGAAAAACAAGCTCAACTCAGTACCTTTAACTGATGTTGGTTTCAAAGTGATTAAAAAAGGCTACTATTGAATTTAATGTTTAAATGGAGGCGAAACGATAATTTCATTTAAAAAATGACATAGAAATAAACTACAAAGGTACAAAGTTATTATGAAGTTAGTTAAGACCAAGTTAGAAGTAAATACAGTTCCAAAACAAAAAGCCGTCAAATTGACTGCTCTGAGAGTTCTAGTGTTGATAGAAAGGTTTGATGCAGATGTTTGTAGTAACGTTAGAAAAGGGCTGAAAGACAGTGTTAAACTTCCACAGTTTGTGACTAAACCACCCTCCTCTGGTCATGAACATGTTCCAAACCAAAGATGCAGAACGAAAGGCAAAGCTTTTCAGGAGGAGACAGAATTATGACCAATGGCATCACAGTATCCTCTTTTCAAATAAAAAATCAAATAAAAACTTCACATTTTTCTCAGTAGACAATATCACACAGTGATAATGAAGAGAAGGAGAAATCTACAGCCACATTAGCTTCGTGCAAAAACCACATACACTGGCACGCCAGAGAGGCAAAGATCAAAGCAAGACGACGCATACAAAAATATAGAAAATCTCCAACGCAGCGCTGCGTTCAGTCTCTTTCACATCGTGTGTCACCGAGTTTCACCAAAGATCGCTTCAGGGACATTCTGTGTTTTCCTGCTGTGGGAGTGGTTTAAACATCAGCCGCTCCATAATCAGATGTTCAGGATAATGTCAACATGTCAGTGATAGAAAACTACATTAAAAGCATTTCAATTTTATCATTTATGACAAATATTTTAGAATTTATATTTAAAATACATACTATATCCTGTCACTTTAAGACATTCCAGCATTAGCTCATAATTAGAAGTGACAGGTTGTTAAATGATTTGGCATTCAGCAAGCCATGCCAGACGGATGCACTTTTGTCTTGCAGGAGTCGCAGAGAGAGCAGGGTCCAGGATGCGGTGTCACCTGCTCCTCTCCCGGGGCACACACTGGGACATGATACAGATCGTGCTAAGACTGGGTCGGCCCATCCTTTGCACTTGCAAATCACATGCAAAGAGAAGTCAGAGTTTTCAATTCAGTCCTTCAACTGGCCTCCAGGTGGCGCCGCACTTTGGAGTCTTTGAGAATAGGCACAAAAACCTATAAGTGTCAAACTAAGACCACAAGCAAGACACTGGGCTTGGAAAAGAGCCAGAGTTCTTGTTTTCACATTGATAAAAAAGATTGTTTGGACGCTTTGAAGAAAAGTATGACTGACGTCAACATGGACAAAGCAGGTACCAATCAGGAAGTGGAAATGTTCCGATAAGGCAAAGACGGATGAGTTACGTTCACTCTGAAGAAAAACATGCACAAATGTTCAAATGTCTGCCACGTCTCTGCACCTGTGTTTGGATCAGTCACAGCTGCGCTCTCATTGGCTGTTTGCATTTCCTGCTCGTTCCTCATCCTCCTCCTCTTCCTCCTCGTCCAGAGACACGACCCCAGAGGACGCCACGTCGGACACTCTCCGGCGCAGGGCGTACTCAGGACTGTGGTCTTGTGCCTCGGTGGGACACAGAGAGTTGACGTAGTCCTTACAGGGGCTGTCCTCGTCTTCTCCAGGAGACAGATATGTCTCTGAGTAGGACACGGAGAACGGAGAGTCCTGTCCTCCACGCGCTCTCTGGCCCCGCCCCCCTGCGCAGCTATGCCCCGCCCTCTGGAGGCGGGACAGCAGCTCTTCTCCGCCCTGTAGCGCCGACAGCAGCTTAGCGGCCAGTTCAGCGGCGTTATTGTGGGAGCTGCTGCCGCGGCTGCCCCCGAGGTCTCGCAGCAGCGGGTGCAGCTCGTCCAGACTGCAGAGGCTGGAGCACAGTGTGTCTGGAGACGCCGCTGTGGGGGAGGGCTCTCCGCTGCCCCCCTCTCCTCCCGCCCCCTCACAGCAGGGGCCACGCACGCCCAGGGTCTGGCAGATCTGACTGTGGATCAGCTCCTTCAGGTACGGTGGGTACGAGGGCACATCTGCAACACACCGGAGCAGAGGTCAGTCACTGAAGTCACCAACAACAGATGTCAAGACACTTTAGTACATTCATAATCATGAGACCCAACATTATTCTACAAGAGTAACAGCCAAATGACTGCAAAGACAAATGAATAAGTCATTTACAAAAACAGATCAGTGCCATTATAAAACCATTTGAAAGATTTTTCTCTTTATAAGTTGTTTTTTTGAAAAGTGTTTTAGTGCCACCCAAATAAAGTTTAACTTCTTCTTGAGCAAATGATTTCAAATTTACAGTACTACCAACAACAAAACACGATGAAGACTGTAGGACTGTAGGCTTGAGGAACACAACTGCTCAAACTCAGACTCCCCTGTTTCCATTTGTCCTCACACTGATGTCCACTAATCTTACTCTTTGATGTTATGACATTCCTCGAGCGAACGCTGCACACATGGAAACACATGACTCAAAGCAGTTATGTCTATAATGAAATTACAAAACAATATTCTGACACTTTTATATCCCCCCCTCTTAAACGTGCAGTCAACACGCCCCTCTGTGTGTTTGATGTGATGGTTTACAGTGGTCCACAGGAAGCTGCTGCTGTGGAGGCGGCGGCCAAATGGACTGCTCTGAATATTAGCTATGTCAGTGCAATCAAGATGAAAGCTCTGCTGCACAAACACACGCGCCGCTTTTACGGGTTTTGCGCGGACATTACACAGACTTCATGTTCTTATATCCTCCCGCAGAATCTCAACTCCGATAACTCTAAAATGTGCTAGACCATTCGGAAAACTTACATTCCTCAGACAAATTTCACATTTATTATTGGACGATTCTGAGACTTATCACATGCAGAAAGGTTTTGATTTGAGGGTTTTTCTAATTGGACTTGATAGAGACAGAGGTTTTAAGCTGTTTGAAGTTTTGCTGATGACCCAATGTTCCTACAGTATAATTGCCCTCTGTTACCCACTACAGTCTGAGGACGGAAAGGTTTCTATAAGGCTGATGAACAACAGATGACTTCTTGATTCGTCTAAATGTCTATTGTGTGTGTTCTTTATATTGGAATTGTGTTAAAAATTATTAATGTATGACTTTCTATCGATTTGTTTAAATTTTGTATTACTTGTTTTCACCTTAAAGACCTTATGCCGGGTTTGATTTATTTAGAAATACAGTTTTAATACCATTTTATATTAGAAGAGAACTACTAAAGGTTTCAAAATCAGTTGTTGTTTTTTTTGTCTGATCCCCCCAAATCAAAATAACCCCATAGCAACGCCCTTAGAGACAAAAAAAACTTCACAGCCCTTGGTGACGTCAGAGTGGGTACGTTTCAACGCTGTAAGTTGTTTACAATTTGGTATTTGTTCTTTTTTCGCGGATATTCAAGATGACAAGGCCGTGTACAGCGAGTCTGAAATTACTACTAGATTGTGACATTTTTTTTGTACTGAGATAGTCCAGTGGTTGTGTTGATGGGCAGTCAATCCAGGTACTGAGGTTCAAATCCCACCTGAGACACATTTTCACTCTCAAAACGGCAATTTATGTGTAGTGAGCAATTTTCACCTGTAGAGCGCAGTATTGTGTTGGGCATCAGTGGAGAGAAGAGAGAAAAGGCAGTCCTGTGGCATAGATCCATGGTTTTTTTGCCGGAATCTCTTTCAGATCGACATTATCATGCAATTTTGATATCCACAATTTAAAAAAAATAAAATAAAACCCAGCATAAGGTTTTTAAGCAAGATTTTAACTTCCTGGTACTTACAATGGCAAAAAAAAACAATAAAATAATGATAAAATTAATTCTGTTGACCCTTGGAAAAGTAAAATATTGTTGAGATGTTTGTTAAAAGGTTGATAAATGTCTCACAACTTGTAAAAACCCAAAATTAAACGCATTTAAAAACACAGAATATTATGAAAATGGACTTTAAAGCCATAATCAGAATTATAACAAAAAAGGCTTGGCTTCTCTCACTCAGCATGTAACAGGTCTATATCCTGTAGATTGGCTTCACATAGTAACTTGAATTGCACAAATAAATGAACTTTTGAATAATATTCTAATTTTTGTTGTGTCTTCTACAACTTTCCCATCCAGGTCAAACCAATCACAGAGAAGAGATCTACAGAAGCGTAAGGATAATTCCTATTGTTTGTGGCATAATTTATAATGTTCCCAAAAAAAGAATTTGTGCCCAGTTTGATTTTTACTTGTTAATTTTTTGTTTTAAGGCAGTCAAAATGTGCTCAGATTAAGATATATACGTTTTGTCAAATGTATAAAATGTTTAACTTATTTTTCATCACTTTTTGCAGTGTAGCAAAATTTGTCATCTGCAGTTGTTCCATCCTGAATGCCACTCTGTTTTATAAGGAGAGGATTTTTTGCTGGAGGATTTTACCAACAGTACATGTTTTTAGAGGCAGGGGAAACCTCACAGATACAGGTAGAACATGCAAACTCCACTCAGAAATGCTCTGTTTTTCCGACTGGGATTCAAACCCAGAACCCTCTTTTTCTGAGAAGCCAGAGTTAACCAACCCCTCAGGCACGGTGCCGTCATTACCCCATCCCTCCTATACAATCATTAAATCACTCCTTATTCTCCCATTTACCCCAGATACATCTAATTTCAACTGTGGCTGTGAAGGAAAACAGCTTCACACAATATGGATTTTTACAAGTCCCCACAAGAATACACATACAGGCGCACACACTTTGGCCAGAGACTCACTGCGCATTTACAACCCCCGCACGCCCTCTCTGCACGGTCCTGTCTGTCTGTGCAAAGGAAATGATATTAAACTTGCAGGAGGGATATCAAATTGCGCCGAGGAACAAAAAAATGTCGACGTAGAAAGAAAACTAGGGCACTGGGACAATGGGAGCTGAGCGGAGGCAGAGGCAGCGGGAGGGCAGTGGGAGGGCAGTGGGAGGGCAGCGGGAGGGCAGCGGGAGGGCAGCGGGAGGGCAGCGGGAGGGCAGCGGGAGGGCAGTGCGGGTCACAAACAGGATGGAGGTACTTTAAACATATCTATTTGTCACGAAGCAGAAAATGACAAACGCAATGCAATTTATCGAGGAGTGAAATTTGAAATGTTCCTATTATTCAAAACATAATTGAAAAAGGGGGCGGGTCATCCATCTTCTGCTTGTTTTGGTGAATTTTTATGAGGGGGCGGGGTTTTGATCTATAATTAGCCACGTACAAGTTGTTTTGAATATATAAAAAAAATTTCAGCATGTGTGTGTGTGTGCGCAGGTGTGTGTGTGTGCGCAAGTGTGTGTGTGTGTGTGTGTGTGTGCGTGTGTGTGTGTGTGTGCGCGTGTGTGTGTGTGTGTGCGTGTAGGATAAGTGAGAGATAGTGTGTAGGATAAGTAAGAGATAGAAATAAAGAAATATTTATACACATACAATGGAAAATTAATATATGGCAGACTAATGCACCCAAAGTGAGATATATCGAGCCTAAATGTGTTACAATATTGATATTTGGCTCCAAGATTGTAAAAACAAAAACAATATTTTAATATTTTGAAAATGGACAAGAGGGGTTGGACGCTCCACTTTTCTGGTGTTTCTCGCGGGGAGAGGCGGCGAGCGTGGGTGGCCATACTCATTGCCCCCCATCTCAGCCGCCACGTGTTGGAGTTCTCCCCGGTGAATGAGAGGGTCGCGTCCCTCCGCCTCCGGGTGGGGGACAAGTCTCTCACTGTTGTGACGGCCTACGGGCCTAACAGCAGTGCAGAGTACCCGGCCTTCTTGGAGTCCTTGGGAGGGGTACTGGACGGTGCACCGACCGGAGACTCCGTTATTCTCCTGGGGGACTTCAACGCCCATGTGGGAAATGCCAGTGACACTTGGAGAGGGGTGATCGGGAAGAGCGGCCCCCCTGATCTGAACCCGAGCGGTGGTCAGTTGTTGGACTTCTGTGCCAGTCACAGTTTGTCCATCACGAACACCATGTTCGAGCACAAGGGTGTCCATCAGTGCACGTGGCACCAGGACACCGGAGGTCGATGATCGACTTTGTTGTCGTATCATCTGACCTTCGACCGCGTGTCTCGGACACTCGGGTAAAGAGAGGGGCGGAGCTGTCAACCGATCACCACCTGGTCGTGAGTTGGATCCGCTGGTAGGGGAGGAAGCCGGTCAGACCTGGCAGACCCAATCGTGTAGTGAGGGTCTGCTGGGAACGTCTCGCTGAGCCCCCTGTCAGACGGACTCTCAACTCACATCTCCGGGAGAGCTTCTCCCAGGTCCCGGCGGAGGAGGGGGATATTGAGTCTGAGTGGACCATGTTCTCTTCCTCTATCGCCGATGCGGCTCGTAGCTGTGGTCGTAAGGTCTCTGGTGCTGGTCCCGGTGGTAACCCCCGAACCCGGTGGTGGACACCGGCAGTAAGGGATGCCGTCAGGCTGAAGAAGGAGTCCTATCGAGCCATGATGGTTCGGGGGACTCCTGAGGCAGCTGTCCAGTATCGGCTGGCCAAGCGTGCCGCGGCCCGGGCTGTTGCAGAGGCAAAAACCCGGGACTGGGAGCCAGTTCGGAGAGTCCATGGAGCATGAATATCGGTCGGCCTCGAAGAGATTCTGGCAAACCGTCCGGCGCCTCAGGAGGGGGAAGCAGTTCTTTGCCAACACCGTGTATGGTGCGGGTGGAGAGCTGCTGACCTCGACTGGGGATATTGTCGGACGGTGGAAGGAATACTTTGAGGTTCTCCTCAATCCCCCCGTCACGTCCTCCGCCCTGGAGGCAGAGGCTGAGGATGTAGGGGCGGATACTTCCATCTCCCTGGCAGAGGTCACCAAGGTAGTTGGCAGCCTCCATTGTGGCAAGGCGCCGGGAGTGGATGAGATCCGTCCTGACTATTTAAAGTATCTAGATGTTGTAGGACTGTCTTGGCTGACACGTCTCTGCAACATCGCATGGCAATCGGGGGCGGTGCCAATGGAGTGGCAGACTGGGGTGGTGGTCCCTCTCTACAAGAAGGGGGACCGGAGGGTGTGTTCCAATTATCGTGGGATCACACTCCTCAGCCTCCCCGGTAAGGTCTACTCCAAGGTACTGGAGAGGAGGCTACAGCCGTTGGTCGAATCTCGGATTCAGGAGGAGCAGTGTGGTTTTCGTCCCGGCCGTGGAACACTGGACCAGCTCTATACTCTCCATCGGATACTCGAGGGATAGTCAGGTTGGGAGTTTGCCCAACCTGTCCACATGTGCTTTGTGGATTTGGAGAAGGCGTTCAACCGTGTTCCCCGGGGTGTCCTTTGGGGGGTCCTCCGGGAGTAGGGGGTCCGGGGTCCTCTATTGAGGGCCGTTTGATCCCTGTATGACCAGAGTCAGAGCTGTGTTCGCATTGCCGGCAGTAAGTCGGACCTGTTCCCGGTGCATGTTGGCCTCCGCCAGGGCTGCCCTTTGTCACTGGTTCTGTTCACTGTATTCATGGACAGAATTTCTAGGCGCAGCCAGGGGCCAGAGGGGGTCCGGTTTGGCGACCACAGGATTTCATCGCTGCTGTTTGCGGACGATGTTGTCCTGTTGGCTCCAACGAACCAGGACCTGCAACATGCACTGGGACGGTTTGCAGCCGAGTGTGAAGCGGCTGGGATGAGAATCAGCACCTCCAAATCTGAGGCCATGGTGCTCAACTGGAAAAGGGTGCCTTGCCCTCTCCGGGTGGGTGGAGAGGTCCTTCCTCAAGTGGAGGAGTTCAAGTATCTCGGGGTCTTTTTCACGAGTGAGGGAAGGATAGAGCGCGAGATTGACAGGTGGATCGGTGCAGCGTGCGCAGTGATGTGTTTGCTGTATCGGACCGTTGTGGTAAAGAGGGAGCTGAGCCGAAAGGCAAAGCTCTCAATTTACCGGTCAATCTTCGTTCCCTCCCTCACCTATGGTCATGAGCTTTGGGTAATGACCGAAAGAACAAGATCGCAGATACAAGCGGTCGAAATGAGCTTCCTCCGCAGAGTGGCTGGGCGCTCCCTTAGAGATAGGGTGAGGAGCTCAGTCACACGGGAGGAGTTCGGAGTAGAGCCGCTGCTACTCCACGTCGAGAGGAACCAGTTGAGGTGGCTCGGGCATCTGTTCCGGATGCCTCCCTGACGCCTCCCTCGGGAGGTGTTCCGGGCACGTCCCACCGGGAGGAGGCCCCGGGGAAGACCCAGGACACGCTGGAGGGACTATGTCTCTCAGCTGGCCTGGGAACGCCTTGGGGTCCCCCCGGACGAGCTGGAGGAAGTGTGTGTGGATAGGGAAGTCTGGGCGTCTCTGCTTAGACTGCTGCCCCCGCGACCCGGCGACGGATGAAGCGGAAGAAAATGGATGGATGGATGGATGAAAATGGACTGTAAACCGAGCAGATCAAGCGGAAAGTCCACTGGAGGACGGCATTTCTTAAGATTAAGAGATCCTTTATTTGTCCCACAGTGGGGAAATTTCGGTGTTGAATCACACGTTCTAGAACAGTAGGAAAGAGGAGCACACGGCACACGTTATGTGAACAATAGCTGTACTAATTAAATTGTTTAAAAAAACTCTTAACACTAGCATCATAAAGAAGTATAAAATCTCTATCTTGAAAATAACAATAGATGTAAAAGTTAAACATTTGACAAAATATTATTTATTTTTATTATAATTTTATAATTTTTTAAAATAAATTCTTGAATGCAGAATTTCACTCTGAACCAGAGCAGAGACAATAATCCTAACCCAGCAGACTCTGCAAACATCGACCAGAGGATAGCAGCTCATCACCAGCGGCTGCACCCCCTCTGCCGCTGTGACTGACAGTGATGTTGTACTTTATGACTGTTGTTAGCTACTTTTACAATTGTGTATTTATTTGTTTGTTATGGATAGATGTGTTTCTGCTCCTGGACACCTGTATTTGCTCCAATACAGGGATCAATAAAGCATCCATCTGTCTTATCTATCTATCTAATGACCGTGGTGGATGGGAGCAGACGGCGTGTGAGCTTGTTTACAAACACAGACTCGTACCTGTGCTCTGGGTCGAGGGCTCGTAGGCGGGCAGGAAGTCTTCGTCGTATGAGTCATCGTTGGACTCGTCACCGTCGACGGAGGACCAGGCCCTCAGCTTAGCCTCGGCGATGGCAAACTGCTCCGCTACACCTGCCCCACACAAATAAACACGATGTACAAATGAACACGGAGCGAGAGGGTCGTCATAGAAACAAGCTGCAGAGCCAGAGACAGGGGCCGCGGTCGGGTTGCCAGGTCAGGATGATGTTTTTCAGGTTGGCGGATCACTGTTTGTTTATATCGGCAGGTGCACAGGGTGAAATTCAAATGGGATGCTCACGTTTCAGGCTGTAGCTGTTAATATTGTCTGGTTCTAAAGGAAATAAACGGATAAATAATGACATAATGCGCTTCCGTCTGCTTTATAGTGATGAACTATTTAATTCTTAATACATTTAGGTAAGAGAATCAAATAAATAAACATAGGAAAGGCAATAATAACAAAAACATAGGAGTCATTGGACCATAGATGACCAATGTTTATAAATGTTAAAGGAATATAGGAGGATTTTCCCAAATTTTAGGAAAGAAACCTCTCTCTTTTTGAACCAAACTCTCTGGTCTTATTTGACAAGCACGTATCAGCAGAATGATTGACAATTAGGAGGACCAATAGTCTTGATGATCCACCCGGAAGTAGAAAATCCTCCTATATGCCTTTTTTTAATGTCCATAATGTCCATCAAATGTCTGGGGAAGTTAGCGATCAGTGGATATGGCACAGCGAAGTGGGTGGAGCTTCCTGTTGTGGGCGGAGTCAAATTCCAAATCCCTATAGAGATTGTGACTAATAATTCGGGGCTGATCTTCCCTCTGGTGAGTAATAACCACAAAATGTACATTAATATATTACATATGTTTATGAAAAATGCCAAAGTGAAGCCAAATTTCACATTTGAATGCTGCTGTGGATAGTCGTCATCAGCGAGTTAGCCTCTGCCGTGTCTTTAAACGCTTTGGATTTTTCATAACTCCTTCGGGGATTTTAAATGGAATATTCAACTTTCAGAACCCAAAGCCCTCGCCTCTTTGGAACTCCGTTATTCCATAGAGAAAATCCAATCATTCTTGTATCGTAGCTTCAGAAAAATATGAACAAACAAACTTAGTAACAGCAGTGAATGTGTTGCAGTTGTGACAATTACATCGACTTTAGAAGAATCTACATTTCAGAAATAGGCACATACACTTTGAAAACGGAAAGAAAAAACAAGAAAATGTTATGTTCCCTTTTCCTGGTGGATAATGGCCCAAGATCCTGCAATTTGTTTTTAATTTGCTTGTTCTTTTCTTCCATTAGTCCATTTTCCTAGTCCTCCTCCTTCCTCCTCCGTCGAGCAAAGACGTGTCTCAGTCCGCTGCTGCTTCTGAACGGCTTGCTATTTTGGTGGTGGGAATCCTCCTGTTTGGGTTTGGAGCGATCCTGTTCTACCACAAATTCGGTGGCATGGCAGTTCGCAAGATTCACGACCTGCTGGCCGACAAAATTGACGGGATGTACAAGGAGCTAAGCCGTGTCGTGGTTGAGAGTGCCGTGTCTGGACAAAGGAGAGTGGTTTTAGTGGAACAGTTGATCAAAGATCTCGCAGCTCGTTCACTCGATGGGCATAAAACTCTGGAATTGAGATTGAATGACATTGTTTGTCAGGCTTGAACTCTCTGACCCGGCTTGGATTTGCCCCTGTGTACGGAGGTCTGAGGGCGCCGTAATTCGGTTTAATTGGAATTAATAGAATATCTGCCTGCTTTTGGTGCTACATTGCATATAATATTGTCCCTCTCAGGCGATGTGTTTTTCTCCTGCTGTGTCTTCTCTCCACTCTTATCTCACATTCCTCGACCAAGGCCATAAACAAGGTCCCACAATCTACAACAACTCACACTATTTCAGTCTCCAGCAAGGATCCCTCACCCCCGCCTCCCTCTACCTATCCATCTTGCTCCCTCCCTCCCCTCCATTCCTCATTGTTTTCCTACTCACCCCCTCCCTGATCCCGCCCCCCTCTGACAGCTACATTGGGCCGGCCGCCGGAGGTGCTCATCCCGAGAAAAAAATCCGTGGTTTATAAAAAGCACAATGTGTCTATCCAATTGTCTGTGAACTGTATGTTATTGCTCTCTGCTGTTTCTTGCTGCACACAGCAAATTGTCTCTGCCAAGACAATTTCCAAGTGATAACTTTGTTACTCACGTGGCAATAAAAATGATTCTGATTCTGATTCTGATTCTGATTTTGTCTCATTGTTGCAGCGTTGTTTGTGTAAATGTGAACTTAACCTCATTAGTAACAATTATTATTCAACTTGGGATTCATTAGCACAGTCTCTTCTTCAGGATAAAACATTTTCCTCGCTTACAAGTTTGCAGCTAGCTAACGATTGGACTTCATCACTATAACGCTAATATATTCATGCGAACTGTAAACTAATAGTAAGCATTTGTCTCGTGCGTGCGGTAACGTGTGGTACATTTCAGCTGTGGATATTAGCATGTATGCTAATAGGCTCTGGCTGTGATGGCTTGAACATTGATATGCATGACAGTGCTGGCATTAGCATCTCCGCGTACGGACTTATATAACAGACTCCGCAATGGCCACCTGAGAACTCGCAAAGGTCGGAGGTGCCATGTAACACCCTTGTAACACACTGCTTTAAATAATTAACCATAAACATGTGAAAGGAGCGTGTGTGTGTGTGTGTGTGTGTGTGTGTGTGTGTGCGTGTATGTGTGTCAGTATGAGGACAAGCCAACTGCAGAATGTGATAAATATTGTGATCCTCTCTGGGTGCTGGAGTTGGCTGGTTTTATGGCGGACGGACTGAGCTAAATCATTTTCACACATTAGTTACATTTTTGACATTCGATCTTGGGCCAGAGACAAGAAGTGCGAAAATGGTTGCTAGATTCTGTAAAATATACGATTATATTAAGGGTTTTTGCCCAAAGGTATACCAATGGGACGGAAAGCAAGTCAAACCTGGTGGAATTATCCGTTGTGTCGTCAATTTGCAGAGGTATATTTTGTCAGAATTTTAAACAAATTAATCACTATTTCATATTTTCACAAAGCTGACTTAAACTATAACAAGGGCCGGTCAAACTGGGTTGCATTAAGGTTTTGGGAAAAACCAATAAAGTACAAAAGATGATGTACGGGAGGCATTGTTTAAGTCTAAGCTGAAAACCGTTCTTTTTAGCTGTGCATATGTCTGAGTTTTATATATTGAGCTTTTATACTGTTTGTTTTCATGCAACAATTATTATTATTATTTAGATTTTTATTATTATTTAAAAAAATATGTTTTATTTTTTTATTCTTTTTGTGTGTTTTAAAATTTAGTAAATGTATATGATTTTATGTTCTTGTGAAGCACTTGGTTGCACTGCATGAATTGTGCTTATAAAAAAACTTGATTGATTGATTGGTTTCGCTTAAGTTCTTGTTTTTCACTTTGGATGATGTGAAAGAGTCTTGCATAGATATCAAATCAGTTTGTGTCTTCATCTCGTTAGAATACTTGTAAAAAAAGATCCCTGTGAGTCTCTATTTGACACTCAGCTGCTGAGTGAGGGATGTCCTTTCTTTTCCTCTTCTCAACCTGAAAATGCTGATCCAAACAGTCCAAAAATACGCACATGAGAAAGCTGTTTTAGGACTAGAAACTAGCGAGATGGCTTTTATTATTATTATGACACACTTACATTTCTATTAGTTTGAAAGTTTAAAGTGTGTATGTATGTATGTATGTACATGTATTAGGGCTGTAAAAATTATCGCGTTAACGGACGTTAATTACATTTTTTCATTAATTGCGTTAACGCAATTAATGAAAACATGTAATTAACGTAATTAATGCATGCCCATGCACCCTATAAAAACATTCAGAATGCCGCGGAGACGTGTGTGTGAGATGGCAACAGAGCAGGTCTCTGGGAATCCAAGTTTTAAAAGAATACACACGTGACCGCGAAGCACTTGCTGCTGCTGTTTCATGAACTCTGAGCTGAGCTGCGGCGCTCTGGACAGCGGTTCCTCCAGCGGCGGTGATCACGTAACGTCATATCCAAGACCATACACAGAACTATTCTCTGATTGTAGTGTGTGTGTGTCTTTCCGTAACCGATGCACACAAAAAATACACCTCTGAAGCTGGACAACAGAGCCTCCTCCGTGTCTTCTCCCGGAGCGCACTCGCTAAATTAAAGCTTGGGTACCTAGTTTTCCCTTCCACTACCAATTCATGACAGATTTAATGACATCTGCATTTCAGACTGTTTTGAAATGTCTCATCTGTAACAAACAATAGTTTTGGTCTGAATCACATAAAGACAGAATGTTAATAATGTTAGTGCCATTTTATATGGATTTATTGTTATAATAAACAAATGCAGTACATATGTACACTATGCTGTCATTTATCTTTCCATTCAAACAACCATTTACAGAAAAAATTGCATAATTTTGTCGATAGTTTGAAATGCGATTAATTACGATTAATTAATTTTTAAGCTGTAATTAACTCGATTCAAAATTTTAATCGTTTGACAGCCCTAATATGTATGTATTTGTTAATGTGTTTATGTATATGTATGTGTCTGCGTGTGTGTATATGTTTTGCATATGTTTGTGTGTGTGTATGTCAAATGTGCCAGTGCGCGTGTATGTGTATATTTATATGTATATAGTAATGTTTGTACATGTAAATATCATAAGCAATATTTATCGGTGATGGGCGCTTTGGTAACATGGGGTAGGCTCAGATAAGGGCTATTGTATTTTCTGTGCTTCTCTTTTGTATGATTGTTTTTGTATTTTCCAGATGCCCAAATTAACAAACTAGGGCTGGGCGATTAATCGATTTTAATCATTAATTCGAGTTTTACGTTTAGGGCGATTTCTTTTTTTAAAAATTCGATTTTTATTTTCTCCAGCGCAGAACTACAGCGCTAACGCGCTAACCGCGGGTCTATGGTGTTGAGCAGTCATTTTGAAGCTAACCTAATGCTAACAGTCTCCCTCTGGCCTGAGGCTCGCTCTCACAGTTGGTGCTGTTGCAATAACACTTCAAACGTTCAAGAATCAGACTTTATTTAATCGCCAAAACACACACACACAGGCTCCGGTCGCTATGTTCGTACGCCATGTTCGTACGCCACATCTTTCACGCTCTCTCACGCTCGTTATTCCAAAGCGCACTCCCGTGTCCGTGGCGCTCACACACTCGTGTCCCACTGAGCCGCTGCACTTTGGGGAAAGACACGTCTCACACATTGCTCTCATTGCTCTGATACAAACAACGTGTTCCCCGCTGTTAGCTACAGTAGCTGTTAGCTACAGCATCAGAATGTAAACAGGAAGCTCGCACAGTCACTGAAGTTAGTATTAGCGCCACCAGCTGGACCGAGCGTTGTACTACAGCACAGTTACTCAGGCACAGTTGAAAGAACAAGCATGAAAACCCGAGGAGGCTTTTGGAAAATACTGTCTGTTACAACATTTCTATTTTGAGTAATCAGTTTTAAAAATGTGATATTTCATGTAAATAATGCATGTGTTTAATAGGATTGATATATTTGCGATGGGCCTTGTTTGTGTGATTTAAGTTATTTTGAAGGTGCATAGTGTCATTGTAAGTGAAGTTATTATAAAACTGTTAAGCTACATTTTCACTGTTTACAATGGCAGAGCCATCTCGTTTACAAGCATGTTTTAAGGCTTAATTCCTGTTACACTTATGCTCCATGGGGATTTAGATTAAACTGCATAAAGGAAAATATATTTCGCCCAGCCCTATAACAAACTAAATCAAAATCAAATCAAAGTTATGCACTGCAGCTTTTACACGTCCAGTTTATACGGACACAGTAGCTTTGTCGTCCTGTGTCCTTGATTGGAAATTACGACACAATCAAACCTCAGCATAATGGACGCACATACTCAATCACGACGCCCTATTCTACGGCTACTTCTCTTTCTCTACCGACCACCAAACACCCTCACACCCTTTGCTTGTATTCCTGCTGTTGCTTCACTCCTATCATGTCTTTCCCATTGACCGATGCATGGACCTGGCATCTTTTAAAGCGGCCGTTTGTGCGGTTTTCCATCCTCATTCTTGGATCCAAAGTCTAAAGTGTGTCGCTCAGTCTCGGGTGAGTGCAGAGTATTCATGCACCGGCCTCATAGAGAGAGAGACATCGATCCACTCATTCATCCCAAACGCCACTGCGCCTTTTGGACATGGCATTTACTCGAATACTGCGGGTCTTTTGGGAGAGTCAGAGCATGCGTGCGGCTCTTTTTAGGTTTTGTATGAAATATTGAAAGCTCTTTGGATTCAGACGCTGAGCTCTCACCTGCGCCGCTCTGTGGATTCTGTGTCAATGTTTGAAATAGAAAAAGAAAAACCCCACGATAAAATTGCTCTGTGTTTAGGACAGTTTCTTAGACATCAGGAAGCTGCAAGCCACGGAAATGTTACACATAAAAACATACAGGTCTGCCAGATTTTTCACATACATGCCTCTGTCATAACTTTGATCTGCTTTTTCCAGAAGAAGTGACAAAGAGCCTCACTCAGCCAATCAGATCTCAACACAAATGGTGGCTTTTTGATGTATGCTTTTCTAGGAGGAAGACAAAATGTATTATTCTCATTATCCCAGTTTTTCAAAGATTGGTATTGAAGCATTTACTGCTAGCTAAGAAACCTAGCAGCTATACTTAATATATATTTTGTGTGCTTCCTGTGTGCTCTTACCCACTGTGGGACGAATAAAGGATGTGTTTTCTTATGTCATTGATGGATTTTAATGACGCCAACGCACTTTCTCTCGAAAATAAATCCTTATAGAAATATTCTTATAAATATTCTGGAAATTTTTTTAACATATCTCCGCTTTGTGCTGTTTGTCTGAGTGTACGACATCAACCAAAAAGTGTGTATTTTAGTCTTTTTCTATGGTTGAGAAATGAACTTTGTTTATGTGCTTTCATTTACTAATGTGTGACATCTTCACTTATTATATTTTACATTATCTTGGCGTTATTAAGGCTACACCACTGCCTCTGACCCATTTCAAACGTGTTATCTTCAAAAGACACCAGCCAACTTTTTATCTCCTCACAACAAAAGCTGCAGTAAAATGGACTTCATCCAAAAGAGGAGAGAGGTCATCGAAAAGCTAGAGGCATCACTAAAACACAAAAAAAGGGAAAAATCCAGAGGTGGCACGCTGGAAAAGTGCTCTGTCATGGAGGCTGTAGCCAGGAGCAAAACCTTACTGTGCAAATTAACCTTGAGAGACTGCAGAGAGGGAGGGGCCAATCGAGTGGGCAGAAAAAAAACAAGAGATAGAAGAGTATGGAACGAGGGTCACGGGATCAGCAGGAGCACGAGGCCTCGCAGGCAAAGGAGACACAAAGAGAGATGTAAAGTCTTTTATCTTGATTTGAAAAGAGGGAAAGTATCAAGGACATCAGTAGAATGCAAAGTACTATAGGATTGTCCCCTATGTCGCTAATAATGAACCGGGTGTGATGTTCGGGACGGTAATTGTGGCCTTTGGAAAGAAGGAGGATAATGTGGTGCTTCTGGAATACACTGGTCAAAGATGGCAAAGAGGAGGAGAGAATGTATTATTGAGTGTGATTACAAAGGAAAAGAATACAGAAAAGATGGGATCAAGACTCATCAGAATTTCTTTGGTAAATGTTTTCATGCAGCTCATTCCCATTAGAATCAGTGTCTGCAAAATCCAGGAATCTAAAACTGTGATGCATTTGCTATATTTTAACATAAAAGTACTTTAAACCATAGACTGTATATATTAATGGACAGAGTCACGCCTATCTCCGCCGTTCATAGGAGTTGGCCATGAAAAGTGCTTTCATGGAGCAATCCAAGATGGCCGCAAGTGGTCCCGCCCACAAGAAAATTGTGAAAAAACGCATCTGCGCATGCGTCGGCCGGCGCAACTCCATTCATTTGAACGAGAGACTTCAAAAATTCCCCGCGAGTAAACTAGAGTGGACCAAAAAAATTCACCCCCCTCAGCATTGACACACATGTGGGAGCTTTGGGCCAAGAGCCAACTTTTGGACCATCCTGTAAAGACGTTTTTGAGAGGTCTGCCAATGCTATATGTTAGCATTGGCTAATTCTACTTCTGGGTCCACCCCCATCGGCCCGGGGTGGTATTGCAAGCATGTCAGCGCACATCATTTTGGCCACTTTTGAGCTGGGACCCTCCCCCACTGCTTTAAACTTGTGAAATGATCTGCCCATGCAGTAAGTTAATTTGACTTGGTGAGATTTCTCAAAATAAGTTCATCATGTCTTGAAACAAGCAAATCAAAATAAGTAGCCTTAAAGGTGCAGTTAGCGATGTTGTTAGCTTAGCCGTAGCACCAACTGGAAACCACTGGGAGTGGTTTCAGGGAGAGTGGGCGGCAAAAGTGATATTGGGATTTTCCTTTCAGCCCTTTGAGGTTTTTTGAAAATAATCTGATAACTCGCGAGAAACAGGAAGCATCGGTTTATTTTTATTGGCCCGCTTCAAAATGTTTTTTAATAATTTTTGGAGATTATTGGTCATCTGGTCAATTCCATTACTATTTGAAACACATGATAACTTAGATAGATAGATACTTGACTAATTTTAGGGTTTAAGGACGTTTTCCCGCAATAGTTTTTAAAAAAATTCAAGCCAAAATTACCCATTTTTAGACTTCATTATGAGTGAAATATGATAAATCCAAGCACTAAAATAATAGTTTTCTTACATTTGAGTTATTTATGTTTAGTTAAAATTGCTCAAAACAAGTACAAATGTTACTTGAATATCCTGAATCATAAAATGAAACTGTTATCTCTCTCCTCAATTCACAGTTTTACATTCGCCTTTATCAATCAAATGAAATTGGAGAAGGTGAACATCGACTTCTAAAAACACCCAATGTATTTTATTTTATTTTCCCACATATCGCAAAGTGAAAGTGGCTCCGCACACTTTTGGAGCTCCCTAATGGCTCATTCAAATTGTGGAGAAAAAGGAAACTTCAAAGCACTTCTGTCTTTTGTTTTTCAAGTTTTTACATTCTGGGATCCATTACAGAGGCCGGGTTTAGAAAGTGCTTGAATTATTGCAAAAAACATTCATGCAAATTGCTCTCCTAATCGCTTCATATGCAAAAAACTGGGAGAGTGGACTCTGTCATTCACGGGTGTCAGGAGAGGCACTCAGCTGCTTCTCACGAGGGTCTCTCCAGATGTGATGCTCTGGGACTATTATGCATTTACTTTAAAGCAGAAGTACCACAAAAACACCCAGGACCTTCTTGCTGAGAAGCGAGAGTGCGATCCACTCAGCCACCGTCCTGCTTTGCATGAATGTGCACACTGGGACAGTTTTTGAGCTTATTTCTGAACATTTGAAACTTTATTGACAATGATGCAGTTGTTTACCTTGACTTGGACATACAGCAAAGGAGTATAACCTCTAAGATGTATCAAGTTTGAAGGATTGGCAACTACACCTTGCTCATATTTTGGATTCCCAAAGTGATCTCACATGTCTGACTTAAGCTGTGGTGGATACAACTCTGGGGAAGCTTGTCAACCCTACAACCCTTGGCAACCCTACTCGGGACTAATTCTTGGTACTACACATGTGTCGAAACGCCTCACACGACAGGGCAGCTGGGCCTGTTACCTGCAGCAAAGCGGGCCTCTTGCTCGCCCTCGCTCAGGTCTGAGTAAGAGTTGAAGTCGGACTCGAGTGCCGGAGTCTCCATGGGCTTACACCAACCCTTCCACTCGATCAGGTGAGCCACGCGACCCTGCGCCATGGCCGTGGGCTTAGTCACATGGTCCTTCACCACCTGGGAGATGCCTGAAGACAGACGGTGAAACATGAGGATACACTTCTCTAGTATGCGGCGTTAGGAGAGAATATGGGCCTGAGCAGAAGTGGGAAGAGATGTGTCCGGTTACAGAGAGATGTGCATTTGCTGGAGTCTTGTTATGAATAAGTTATAGGTTCACATCCGTTTGATTACAGTAAAGACTGTATTATGTATGTATTTATTTATTTATTTGTTTGGATGGATGTGTTTCTGCTGCTTGACACCTGAATGTATGTGACGGAGATCAATATCCATCTATCTATGTCTATCTTTCACTCTATCTATCTATCAGTATGGCTGTTCAATTTAAATAGAATCAATAAAGTATCTATATCCATCTATCTATCTATCTATATCTATATATCTCTCTCTATCTATATATATCTCTCTCTCTATCTATCTATCTATCTATCAGTAGGGCTATTCAACTTAAATTACTCAAGGACAGAATCAATAAATTATCTATCTGTCTCTTTCTATCTCTCTATCTCTCTATCTCTATCTATCCCTCTCAGATATATAGATATATATATATATATATATATATATATATATATATATATATATATATATATATAATCTATCTATATTTATATCTACCTATCTCTCTCTCTCTCTCTCTCTAACTTTCTCTATCTACCTTTCTCTATCTATCTATCTATTTATCTGTTCAACTTACATTTCAGGCCAGGTTTTTTGAAGAGCCACTGTCATTGTCTATTTTCAATACTTAAAACAACATGGTTTAATTAATTTGTTGAAATTTTTATTTGACTATAAATGTAAATATGTCATGTGTAATCAACAATGAAACCGAGCTTAGACTACGACAAATCCAGTCAACAAAAACATTATTTTCTATATTTTTCTTGTACAGAGAGGATGAGTCATGGGCGTAATGAACTTGTTTATTTCATGTTTTAAGATCTGCTGTTTGCAAGAGAATTACAAATAAAATATATTCTTCTTCATGTTCGGAGAGTCTGAATCTGCAGCGGGGACACAGGCTGAAAAAACCTGGACCTGTGCCTCAGTCTGAAATCTGATGAAGAACCTTGGACTTACTTTCATGTAATCAATGGAGCATTCTAGTCTTTTCGGTTTACCTTTTCACCGCTCTTTACAGACAACCAATGAGTAAAAGTAGAAATTATTTTAGCTTTAGCTTTAGCTTTGTCATGTGTTACTGTTAGAATCCAGTCTTGTGTGTCACAGTTACAACATTGTCAGTGGAATAAAACTTCCAATAAATTGGAACTGTACCGACACACGAATGAATGGGATTTCACGGAAGAAATGCTCAAAACAAGTCCATGATTAAAGTTAAAACCTGCACAAGAGCTTTTCTCAGCTCAAAGCTTCAAAAAAATGGTAAAACAGGAGCTGAATGTAGGGTGGTTAAAAGAAAGAAGGAAGTTAAAAAGTATTGAAGGAGACATTTGAGAGTTTAAATATGTGACAAATTTGTGCACTCAACAAAAAAACAGACCAAAAGTTGTTTTTATTTAATCCATGCTGATATGAGGAACTTTTGGCAAAAACGTGTAGCTCCGCCCCTTTGTCTGAACCAATGGAAAAACGTGTAACTCCGCCCCTCTGTCTGAACCAATGGAAAAACGTGTAACTCCGCCCCTCTGTCTGAACCAATGGAAAAACGTGTAACTCCGCCCCTCTGTCTGAACCAATGCAAAAACATGTAGCTCCGCCCCTCTGTCTTAACCAATGCAAAAACGTGTATTTCGACGCAGGCCAAAGCTAATGCTAATAGGTTTCTTACCGTGTAGTGAAGACCTCGCCAACGCCGCTATCTCCTGAATGGTTAGAGCTCGTCTTGATTTGGGCAACATTTCAACGGTGTCGTCAACATTCACCTGCGACAGAAGAAAAACACAAAAAAAGACTTTGCGTTAGAGCCGAGAAACCGGAGAAGCAGAGAGAGAAGCATCTTGACAGAATTCTTCACACGACTCAAGGGAAAACCCGTCAGCCCAGGGACTCCGCTTTTCAAACAACTTCAGCCACGTCTTTGTACTTCAAGGCCGAAAGAAACTATGTATTTTTAATCAATGTGTCCTCCCATGAGTCACAAGCTGCAGACCAACAAAAGGAAGTTATGTGTCGATGGATAGAGGGAAAGCCGGTCACATGACGCATTTTTTCAAGTTTCAATATTATGCCATATTATGCCATTTGGAGAGATTCTGACACGGAGAGACTTGAACAGACAAAACATGGTATTATTAGAATTGTACTTTGGTTTTCAAGTAATCTGACACTACTTAAATTACATATGACTCTGAGGACAATATTTTGAAGATTACTTTTATTGCTGCTGTGCAGAATGTGGTTAGGATTTGGAGCTTAGACCCCGGAGAGACCTGCAGGATTGTAGAAAGGGTAAGAGATTATGAGATGAAATCCGCCGGGGCCTCGACCCTGGTGGTGGGGGCTAGGAGAAGGAGGAAGGAGCTGGAACCCGGAACAAGCCCGAGACGAGGAGGAGGAGGGTTGTAGCGTGAATTAAGCTGCTGCTTGGATGGAGCTTCATCGCGATATGAAGCATAAGCATAGAGAGATAGAGATAGATAAATATGTGATTGACTGATGCTGTTGCCGTGAGCGACAGTGGGAGGACTTTGAGCACTGTGAGCTTAATTCATCCTGTCTTCCGGAATTTGCGCTTTCGCTACATTTCACTTTGAATTTAATTTGTGAAATGTTGTCTATTCACATAATCCTCATAATTTCTGGACAAGACAGGGCCATTCTGTGTGAGGTTTGCATGTTCTTCTCGTGACTGCAGAGGTTCTTTCCAAGTCCTTCGGTTTCCCCTACCATAAAACATATAAAATAGGTATGATTAGAATTTGTGAGTGAATGGGGATGGTTTGAGGATGCAGGGGTTTGGAATCTCACTTCTGTGTGTGAGTCAACAGAAAATGCACCAAAATTAGTAACATTCTTTGTGTGACCTTGGTCTGTGAAATGTGCTAGAATAAATACAGTAGGGATGCAACAGAGTAGTATGGCAATAATTCGAAAAGGTTCATTTTGTCTTGAGTCAAAATGAACTTTTTTGGTTCTTTTGAAAGACAAGTTTAGATGCATTGCCTGTATGGCAAGGCAAGTTTATTTATATAGCACAATTCATACACAAGGCAATTCAAAGTGCTGCCTTAAACAAGAAAGCATTAAAATCATAAATAATCACAGAACATTAAAAAGAAAGATAAAAATATAAAATCCCTCAGTTGTATGCACAGCTAAACAGAACTGTCTTTAACCTGGTTTTAAACATTGTCAGAGAGGAGGCCTGTCTCACATCTTCAGGAAGACTGTTCCAGATTTTAGCAGCATGAATCTGAAAAGCAGCCTCCCCATGTTTAGTTCTGACTCTGGGCACTAACAGGAGTCCAGTCCCTGTGCTCCTCAGAGTCCGGGCTGGTTCATATGGGACTAACATGTCACTAATATATTTTGGTGCGAGGCCATGGAGAGACTTGTACACAAGCAGAGCTGTTTTAAAGTCTATTCTCTGAGCCACAGGAAGCCAGTGCAGAGACCTGAGGACTGGACTAATATGGTCGTACTTCCTGGTTCTAGTCAGGACTCGAGCTGCTGCATTTTGAATGTACTGCAGCTGTTTTACAGCCTGTTTGGACAGACCTGTGAGCAGGCCATTGCAGTAGTCTAACCTACTGGAGACAAATGCATGGATAAGAATCTCCAGGTCTGCTTTAGACACTATGTTTTTGATCCTGGCATGTTTTTTAGGTGGTAGAAAGCTGCTGATGTTACTGATTTGATGTGGCTATTAAAATTGAAGTCTGAGTTCAGTATTACCCCTAGATTTCTGACCTTGTTTGAAGGTTTTAGGGAGAGAGACTGTAGGTGACAGATGACGCTCTCTCTTTGTTTCTGGGGACCAAAGACAATCATTTCAGTTTTGTCTGCGTTTAGCTGAGTGTTTTGCATCCACTCACTGATCTGTTGGATACAGTGAAGGAGTGAGTCCACTGGTCCATGTTCTCCTGCAGTCAGTGAGACATAGATCTGAGTGAGTATGGCAATAGATTGATCGTTTTTTGAACCAAACAGAGACTTAAACATGCTGAGAAGAGGTTTCAGGACTGAGATATTTCCCTGAGGTTTCTGGTGATGATCCAGGATAATTAACCACATTTATGAACATGTATCAATATTTATAGACATTGGCCTCTTTCTGTGTTTAAACTGTTTGATTCTCTGCTCTGTGTTTGTGAATCAACAACTTTAGTCCTCTGCGATAACTACTGTTGTGATCCAGGGCTAAAATTAAAAACAAATGAATTGAATAATGACTGTAGAATGAAGTTAAAACGTAATTTAAAGTATTTTTAAACCTACAACCCAATGTATAACAACCCATCTCTGTGAACACATTCTCCAGGATCCAAACCAAACTAGAATCCTCCCCCAGCTAATCCATCATCAAAATAAAATTACTACTTCCTTACTTTCTAACAACCTGTGGAATATTCCGGACGCATTGTTTGTGTCTCTGTGAAACTTCCACAGCTTCTGTTCAGTGTTACCTTCACTTGTGCGGTGGTTAACTGAGCCTCTGGTCTCATTAGTGAACTAATGGTTTGCAGAGGGAGCCGGCTGTCTCCTCTCACACTACAGCAACCAGAAACTTCCTCAAAGATGCCGCAAAAGGCTAATCGCTATAAATGTCCAGTAAAAGTATTAACAGAAGGTTTTAGAGACTGGTTTTTATTATGTATAAACCATAGACTGTATGTATTAGGAGTGGGGACTGTACTGATGTCACCTTAGTGTTTGCTGAATGCATTACATAAACTAGCTGGAGCCGATTTCCTTATATGGGCATTAGTTTTGACAGGGGTTAGCTTTGCGCCGTAACGGGCAGAGGGGTTGCTACGATGGTTGAGCTTAAATATAAGATTGTAGTGCAGGTTTTTTAGTCCTAGTGCAAGTGACTTAAAGATATCTGTGGTTTGTGTGCTCTCTATGATCCTGGTATTTTTTTATAACAACGTATTCGTCTAGATATGAGCCAATCAATGAAGCCGATGAATGGAGGCATCTGATTGGCTCATATCTGGACATGCAAAGTCGATATCAAAATATAAACACCAGGATCAAAGAAAGCACTAAACCACTGGTCACGTATTATTATGTAATGCTAGTTTATGCATTACATAAACTAGCTGGAGCCAATATCCTTATATGGGCATTTGTTCCGACAGGGGTTATCTTTGCGCCGTAACAGGGGCAGAGGGGTAGCTAAGATGATTGAGCTTAAAACATCTGGGGTTTGTGTGCTCTCTATGATCCTGGTATGTTTTTTAATATCAACGTATGTCCAAATATGAGCCAATCGATGAAGCCGATGAATGGTGGCATCTGATTGGCTCATATCTGGTCATGCAAAGCTGATATCAAAATACAAACACCAGGATCAAAGAAAACACGAAACGACAGATTACGTAAACTCAAAATGGGTGTGACACAAAGAGTTACTGAGCTAGGGGACTTAAGTGTTCACTGTAAGACAATAGGAGTCAGAGTAGGAGTATAGGAGTACTTCGTTTGTGGGCTTCATTAAGCTAGCAGGTTAGCATTGTCCATTTATATACAGTCTATGATATTTACAGGTCCAACTCATTTACTTGCATTCCTTTCTGCACGGACATGACTTGAAAACGTATTCTTAAAGGGTAAAATATGTAAAGCAATTACATATTCTACACATTCAAACCTTGAATATGAAAGCTTTAGTCCAGCTCTTTTGTACAGTACAAACTAATAATGAATGAAAGCCTGGAGGAACGTGAGGGGGATGTCTTTCATTCTCTATTCATGACTTCACTTCCTGTCCATTTCAAACACACAGATAACATGTCATTAAATCTGGAACGTTACAGTAAGTAAGTGATCTTTATTTATATACCGCCTTTCACAGACCAGAGTCACAAAGCGGTTTACAATTGTTATTATTTTTGGGCACTTGTCCTCTCCACACAGAGATGGGAGCAGGGTCGCCGAACAGGAGGCGCATGCCAGACCTATTGTACATATTTTTAGTGGTAGGGGAAACCAGAGCACCCGGAGGTAATCTACGCAGACACGGGGAGAACATGCAAACTCCACTCAGAAAGGCCCTGGTCCGACCGGGATTCGAACCCAGGACCTTCTTGCTGAGAGGCGAGAGTGCTATCCACTCAGCCACCGTGCCGCGGTGACAGTAGAGACAATATGTTTGTGTATGTGTGTGTGTGTTTTTACAAGAGCAATATTGATTTGTGTTTACTTAGGGCTGTAGTGGACAACCAGCAGAGCAAAGTATTCTTGGTCAATCAAAAATACACATCCATCATTCACTCAAAAGGGTTGTGGCAGTAAAAGCTACAGTTCTATCTTACCCAAAATGTACTCTGTTTAATACAAGAGCAGAGGAGGTCAAAGCAAAACAAACATTTATGACAAAAGTATCACAAATTTGCTGATTAATAATGAATGTGAGTCGGGTATTCGCTCTTCCTTTCCACTAGAATCATGTAGAAAGAGTCAGAATGTAATGTGTGAGTGCAACAGAGCTTTGTGTGACCTTGGGCTGTGGAATGCGCTGTATAAATAAATAAATAAATGACTTGCTGTACTTTAATATTGACCGTTGTTTAAGCAGAAAAGTCCTACAGAGATTTCAGATTCTCTTTTTCAGGAGAGTTTAGTTTAGTTTAGTTTTTAGTGGTCGGGGAAACCGGAGACACAGGGAGAATACTAAAGTACCGAATCCTCAGCGATCGCACTAAAACACATAATTTCAGTTGTTTTCAATTCA